AGCAGGAATATGTACAATGGCATCGCCTCTGAGAGTGGCCATGCAAACCCTCATGAAGTATTCAAGTCGCACACAGGACACAGACCTCTGCCCATATTTTTTGGATATTGTTAAAGGTGAAAATCCAAATATTGGGTCATTGGAAAAGTCATCATTTTTCTATGCATCATGAATTTTCCAATGACCAAATAAGTAATAAGTCAAGGAAGGAGGGAAATACCCATTCAACTTCTATGAGCTTCTGGCAGGATGACAGGGATCCGGGAAGGAATAAGCCCGGTGAACTATGTGTCTACGTTTTGTAGAAGAAAGCAGCAAGATGGCGGGCACACTGCTCTGTGAGACGGGTGCACTTCATGTGTTCCATCTGTTCACACATCACCTCAGCTCCACTGTGTAGTTGAGAAAACAGGCTCAGGTCCTTACCCAGAGCAGCGTTCCCAAAGTCCCCCAGTGGTCACGAATGGAGATGAGACCCAGCCTGGTCTGTGTAGCTTCAAAACCTACACTAGTCAGAAGACTCCTTGGTTCAAAAAGGAACCTAAGACTCTCAGGTAAAGTGGAAGGCATGTATACTTGTAGGAGGAGGCGAAACAACAGGAAGGGGAATTAGGAAGTCAAACAGTAGGACATAAGATACAGGATAAAATGAAAATGACTGCTTTTAGGAGGGCGGGAAAGAAAGAGGACTTTGACTACTCCATTCGAGGCTTCCTGAAGGAGGAGAGTAGATGCAATCATCGTCTCACAGTGTTGGGTTTTGAAGGATCTCAGAGGCCATGTAACCCAACCATCTGTCCAGTACTTGTATTTCCCTCTCCCTGATTACCCCTCCCATAGAATCATCCAGGCCTTGATGAAATATCTCTATTGATATGAGCTTATGACTTCTGTTTTGGGATAGGTTTAATGTCAAGACAGCCTGGCTGTGTGAGTTACTACACATCAGCTCTGATTCTGTATCTGAAGCCCCCCAGGTAAGTTTTCTCCCAATTCTGACTGTCCTCACGATGTCTTCACCCCACCCAAAGCATAGTCTCTCTGACCTTGACATCCTTAAGGCTTGCAGCATCTTCTCCACAACATGTGGACGACAGGAGGATAATGGAGACAAAAATCAACCAGGACCTGGGTTAGGAGTTAGTGTAATAGGTCAGAAGCAGCATTGAATGGTACGTAGTAAGAGGAGGGCTCAATATTGAGAAGTCAAAGCCAATAAATGAGAAGCAATGGAGATTGGGAACACTTTTGCTAAAATCGTCCATCTGTCCACCTGACCACCCGCTCACCTACCCTCCAATCTATCTATGTACTGAACATCTCCCAAGAGATTGAGATACAATGCACTGCAGCAGAAAGAGAAAAAAAGAGATTAGGTTCTTGATCTTGAAGAACTGAACTCAGCTGGAGTTAGTAAACAGATAAACCAACCTGGTAAGCAACCTGAGGGAAGAACTTACGAGACTGGGATGAAATGCCCGAGAACTGGGTATCATTTCCACATTGGAACTCAAGCATTTTAAGTCAGGAAGGAGATAGGGCAATCCCTTGATAGTTATGAAGTAAGTGAAAAGAGGTGATGCTAAAGGGGATCCTAAAGAGACTGCTGAGGAGTCAGGAATCAAGGCTTTCCTGAGGAAAGACAGCCATTCAAAACTGGCCAGAATAACGGTGTTCAGTGAAGCTTGACTTGGGAGTCTTTTCTTTTTCAATTTTGTCAGAGGGTATGCATACTTGCCAGGCAGAGAAAGATAGAGACAGAGGAAAAGTGAGAAAGCATCCCCCAAAGGGAATTCCATGCTGCAGTCCTTGTCTGCTGTTTCACCCTCCTTTTGGGACTCTGGGCATGCACACACAGGTGCCGCCATGTTTTTCCAAGCCACCAGGTCCAGGACTTAAAATGTGCAGTCAGCTTTGTGGGATCCAGCCACCTTAACCACTATGCCACAGGCTGGCCCAGCTGTCTTTTCCAACACTTGAGGGAGAATTACATCCCTTGGAACTAGAAGATCTGGGAACCAATCAATACAGCCTTTGCCATTTGCTACCTATGTGACCTTAGGAAAATCATTTTACATCTCTAAGTCTCAATTTTATGACCATAAAATAACATTAACGCTGCTTACCGGGTTTTGTAAATGTCATGTGATACGTATGAAATGGTCTCTTAGTACAGTCTGACGCTTAGTAGGTATTTGGTAATTTTTTAGAGAAGGAGTTTACAGAGTCAGTTTGCCCCTTCTGTTCATATGCTGGGCATCCACTCAGGGGCTTCCATCTATGGAAGACATTAGACCAGAATCCCCTCCAATATGAGTAAAAATGGTTTCCTTTCCCACCATTCTATCTCTAAAATGACCAGCAGTTAGCATAATGGCTGTCGCTGGACTCCCACGTAGTCGACCGCGGTTTGAGTCCTGGACCCAGTGGCTTAAACTCACACTGGGCGCATGTGTGTGCGTGCCCAAGATCCTGAGAGGAGAATAGAGGAGAAGGGATTGCGGTGTGGCCATCCCCCCCGGGGGGTGATTTCTCGCTTTCTATCTCTCTGTCTCTCTCTGTCTGTCTGGCAAGTGCACACGCCCTATAGCAAAAACCTCTCCAAAAAAAAAAAAATAACAATAAATAAATAAAATGACCACCTCCTAGGTATGTCATCTTCACTAAGTAGGGATACAGATCTAGAAGATTTCTCATGAAAGCAAACACCAGGTGGCGAACAGGGCCAGAAACGCTTTTCCACAATGGATGAGCTCCCCTTGTCCAGCTCCTTACCCCTTTGAGGAAAGCCCGTTTTCACCCACCTTACTGCCAGGTTTGGGACCTCTCTTCTTTGGGAATTTCAAAGGCTCAGCTGACTTGGACGGGGTAGAGATGGGCTGAGGAATCAGGGTCTTGGGTGTCCGGCCCCGCTTCTTTCCTGGCTTGCGTCCCCTCTGCCCTGGCTGCTGCTCCAGGACAGTCCTGGAGCTGCTGTGAAGGCCGAGCTTCTCGGTGCTCACCTCAGACGCAGGGGAGGGATTCTTTGGAATCACAACTGCAAGAAAAAGACACATTCGATCACCCCCTTCTCTCCCAGGATTCCCACCCAGCCACACGTAAAAAAGGACTCACTTCTACTCAGATACCTTTGTCCTAAGAAACTAGTTTCTAGGCATTTGACCTAATGTCTAGAAAATCTTAGGTGAAAATTGCATTTAGATTCACTAGAATTGGAGGTTTTAAATTATTTCTGGTAGATGCAAAAAAAAAAAAAAAAAAAAAAAAAAAAAAAAAAAAAAAAAAAAATGGGCACC